ATACATAAGTACAAATTAATCATAATAGGGAGGTTAAGATTAGCGTAAAAATATACATGTACCTATCCCTATCCGTATGTTTGTTACGGATACGTATAGGTAATGCGTATTGCAAAATGAGTTTAAGATTAACGTAAAAGGCTACGAAACCGTATGCTATAATTTATGATAAAATCAACTCCTAATCATAGACTAAAAACTATGCGATGGCTTATATAGCATATACCAGTACATGTCACCTCCAAGAATTGTTATATACTTCAGAGAGTGTGTGGTGTAGCTACTGTAGTTGGGAGGGGGTGATGCTTGAGGGTCCGCTAATGGGGCAGTGACTTAAGCCGAAATGTTAAATTTCTAGCATGATCTAGCAATGAGAGTGGCCAAATAGTAAAGTTAAACAATTAAAACCACGATATAATGGCTGATTTCATACATTTACAATAAGCAAAACTGATGAAGAATTTGTAAATTCAACAATTTCATGCATCATCACATGGCATCGTTTATCGCATCAATGAATGTGTTCGACCACTTAATTTCTATGCAGATCGAATGAGAAATGTTTGGTGTTACTATTTTAAAGTTTAATGGATGATATTTGATCTAGAAATGACACAATTTGTTTGATAAAAATATACGTTTTCGAATTACCTATCTTCGGCCATTTATAGTTAATTACGTATCGTAAACCCTGTAACTTAGGTAAAATACCGCTTAGTGTAATAACAAACTACGTATAGGTATAGGTAAATGGGTTATTTACGCTAATCTTAAACTCCCTAATGTCTGTCAACCAACGTCCGTAATATAAACGATGTTATTTTCATTTCAAAACGGGTTTACCAAAACTTGCAAAAAACAAGTTTTTTGTCAACTTTATTTACATAAACAGATATTCAATATATCCACCGTTTTGATCAATTGTAGTCCTCAATTTTGGCCTAAACTGGTCAATAGTATTATTGATATGCTGTTGAGACAATGAATTTCGCTTCATAATTGCTTTGACAACCAACCGACGATATGCTCATTACTAAAATGAAGATTACCCCATTTTGTGTTTGTTGTATGGTCCTTCGTTGGTCCCGTACCATACGCAGGGGTGGAACCCTGATATCTAAGCCAGTCTAAATCATCGTCTCGCCCCTGTTGCCAGGTACAAGTGTCAACCTCGAAACCACACGATGCTGAAATATTAAACTCATTTATCTTTTAACCTGAAAGAGCCCAATTTAAGTACCAGAATCTGTTTACAAGAATTAGACATGTGGTGTATATTAAATACATCATTTACTCAATGAAGTTTCGTCTTTTGGTGAAAAGTTTATAATAAATACAAGGTCACAAGGCAATCAAATTAGAATACAACAAAAATGTTCATGCTAATAGGCAGAGAAAAAAGGTGGGAAATTATGGGTGCTAGATTAGATTAGACTAGTGTGGTTAGATGCCTTAAAAGGAATATGATGGAAAATTGTGTGACTTCTATGATATTATGTATATTGTATATGTTAATATAACTGCTGCTTTCAAATGTTTTTCTCTGAATAAAAAAAGGAATAAATTTTTTTTCATGCTGTCTAGAGATGGTCTTTCTAGAAAGGCATTCTCTATTCATGGATTTTGGATAAATTCCATCGCACGGACTGTTTCAGTACCTTGTGGATCACACTCTCCATCGAGTATTTCTACATCATCAATTGCCATATAGCCGGACCTAGCTGTACCTCTGTATGCTTGAAACACAACCTGAAAACATTCAATTATTCAAACGTGTTGTCTTAGTCTACGGTATGCAGCTATTTTAGGGCTTGGTTTGGAATGAAGAAATGACATGATATGGTATGGTATGGTATGGTATGGTATCGTATCGTATCGTATGCCAAATATATCGATCGAACTAACCATTCGACGGTTTGTAAAATAAAGCAAGTATGATTAAGTATGATAACTCGAGTAACCATTGATATCTTTTAGTAAATATTAACTACAATATGCACTTTGTGATGTTTTATGGTTTGGTTTCTGTAGTTCTGTACTTTAATAATCCCATAATTATAATAACCTGATAATTCATCAATGGGCTCTTGACGGTTACACTCCCATACTTCCAACCAGTTCCCTGTGTATCATCTATAGACCATATGGCGTCACCCAGTCCAGCCTTAGTCTTTGCATATACTGTGATAGTCCCTACACTTTCAATGGGAGGACCGTTGATCGTGTACCAGAATGTTAGACACTGTGCATTCGTTGGCGGATGAGGCTCACTTATCATTTGGGCTTTGGTGCGGGCCTTAGTCGTATCCGCTGACGCATACATATACTTACCTACAGATAACAAAATGTGGTGTTACTCAATTACACTTTCTTGTTATTTATGCCTTAGCTCTACCGCAATTTTTACAATTTTTCTAACCAGGCATTAGTTGTCAAGCCGTTTTTGAGGAATTATTTGTTTAAAGGAGACTGGTTAATTTGTTATATCTAATCGGGCTTCATTCTAACTGCCATTTTACCATCTCTTGTGCCTGTTGTATGGTCTACTGCAGGTGCCATGTCCGCTTGGGTACTATTCCCATCTCCCTTAATCCAGCTAAAATCTTGATTTAGTACGGCCTCGTACTCACACACAATCGAATTTTCAAAGTCGCAAACTCCTACAATTTTAAATGGTATTTTTTACAATTTAACAGTGCTAAAATCGGCCAGTCAAAGTATTGTCCCACACTGCCCGTCTTGCAATGACATCAGTTTAGAATAAAAAAGTGAATAAAATAGTGAATATAACATCTTACTTGATGGCGGGCAATCTCCGGGGACTACTTTGATATCATCTAGCGCTATTTCGCTTAGGACATCACCCATTTTACCACGCACTCCCTCAAACACAATCTATAATGAAGGATGCATGGGCATGTATTATGCAACAGAATAAACGTGTGATCATGCTTTTGAAATATTCTTCTTCCTTCCTCTAATTCTTACAAAATTAATAATGATTACCAACCTTGGCCCCGGGCTGTGTCTTAAAGAACCCCTGACCATAATTCCATCGGTTTCCTTGGTTGCCAGATTTGGTCCACACGACATCCGTGCCACCTATTATTCGCCCCTTGTAGTTATAGACCACATAGATGTTAAGTGTTTCTACATGTAGACCATACATGTGATACCACCAACTTAGGCACCATGATTGAGCCTTATCTGATATTGTAGGGCTTGTAATTCTGGATGCACTTTTTGAGTCTGTGTCTGACCCTTTGATGAATATATAATAACCTGGAAAAAATTAGAGAGAGAATTTCGGGATAATAAATGGCCGACATTTTGATTTTGTCAAAGGAGTGAATATTCATTGTCATTCTGGGTCGCTTGGGAACGCAAATGAGAAACACGAGTCATAACATTACCATTGATAGTTCCAAATGTATGATCATATAATGGACCAGTTTTACGTGTGGGTGTTCTACCATTTTGTCTTAACCAATCATATTTGTTGTTAGAGTCCTGTTCCCAACCACAAAAGTCATACTCAAATGTGCATTCAAGTAGGGGAGCTGAAAATAAACGCTTTAATGTATTTGACGAAACCCCAAAGATTGAGTTCGCATTTTTTGGCTTGGGGAAATGTGACCAACCACAAATAATCTCCATTAAATATTGAATGAGCAAATCAATATACAGAACCATTCACATTGATGAATTCTTTTTTTCTGCTAGTTATATAAGCACAAGTGGCACATGGGAAAAGAAAATACAAGAAAAAGTACACATTATGCATCGACTTGTTTGTATCTGCAAACCTTTAGTTGGCGGTGGAGTAAATGGTGCCATAGTTGTTGTTGCCTGCGCACCACATGCTTTAAGACTGACATCAACATCATCAATGGCAATGCTCCCTATGACTCTATCACCATAAACAACCTCAAACACAATCTGGAACGTTGAGTTCAATCCATCTGGCAAATTGAGGATCTTCTGGAACCAGTTTGTTCCTTGATTCATTGATGTGCTCCATAGTAAAGTTCTTGTTGCTGACACGGTCTCTCGTGTGAACACCGACAGCATATGAGTAGCTGCAAAGGTAAAGGGTAAAGTCCCATTTCTCAATGAAATTGATTAATTGAATAATTCCATGCATTAACTTGCACTTATCTGAAACGTCATAGTATTCGAGTATATACATATAAGGAAACAAATGAGGTAGCCTGAATGCTGTTTACGTACCAATTTGTCTAGTTGTTCAACACAAGTTCACGTAACACATTATAATCAGTAACCAAAGGTAATAATTTAACTCACTTGGCCGAAATATGTCAATATTGTACCAGAAGGAAATACACTTTCCATATCCATACTCAATATCAGGACTTTCGAGTACTGCAGTAGTGTTGGGAGTTATGTCAATATTCAATGGCGTATACATGAAATATCCTTTTTCAGACTTTGTTGTGTGATCAATGGCTGGCCCAATGAAGTCAACATCATCCCTCCCATTGGCTCGTAACCAGTCAACCTCTCCCGTGGAGGAATACCCACAAGTTCCGGTCTCAAAGTCACATGGTCCATTTGGGACACAAGGACCCGATGTCGTTTCTATATCATCAATGGCGATGCCACCCTTTTTACTGATACCATGGATTGCTTGAAGGACTACCTGAATGGAAACAATGACTGTAACTACTTCTTTCTATCTCTATACATTGTTCATCAGTAGAAAAGATCACGCTCATATACTTCAATATTCAAATTTCGACATGTACGTACGAGGGGAGATTCATAAGTAGTGGGACTTTTCTGAGGCAACAAGTCCCCGTGTACATATCTCAACCAAATTTGGCACATGGACGGACTAGGATATAATAAGGCATTGTTTGGTGAAATTTCAATTTAATTCATTTTGTTCCCTAGCAACAACGGTTGCTATGGTAACCAAAAGTAGGGGTTAACGGAGCAGTTAAAAAATGACAGCCATTGCATAAATCAAAATAGCCATCACCAGAAAAAGGATGTACCTGAAAGCTAGCATATCTCTTCACAGTAACCTGACCATATCTCCATTCTTTCCTGTTGACTCCTGGACTTGTCCACATAGCTTTACTCAATCTTCCATATGACTTTGTATGGATGCTGATGGATCCGCCATCTTGATTTCCATATGTGTAATACCAAAACCGCACACAGTCTCCCCTGCGTGTTTTAGGATAGTTTGGACTCGTTAAACTTGTCCTATATCCATATCTGGTGTTCGAGTTTGAACTTAGCATGTAAAAACCTAAACATGACACACCACACAATAATGAAAATTTAGTTATAACGAAACTTCCTATTCGGATACTACAGGAAGTATATGATGCTTTACCAAAACATATTTTAGTTCTATTAATTACAATAAGGCTTGGAAATAAATTTACGTTTGTGAACTAGTGTCGTCTTCTTTCCACCGTAAGTAGATGGTTGGCGTAAATTATTTTTACTTATTGTACCGTACCTGATGGAGATCCTAACGTGTGATCTATCACGGGTCCATTTCGTCCAGTACGCGTGTTTCCTGTTTGCCTCGTCCAGCGATATGTAAGTCTATTATCGTCTATCCAACCACATGTATCCACCTCAAAGTCGCATGTTCCTGAAAAAAAGTTTTCTGTAGAGCCTGACTATGTAGACGAGTAAACATCTGACTATTTTCTTGAATTTTAATGTCAAATCAAAAGGGGAGGAAGGGGAAACAGATCAAACTGAGCAGTAAAACACAGCTAGAAAATCAAAGTCATTGGATTAATGAACTTCAATAACCTAGATTTCGTACATATCTGACAACTCTCTTCACTGACCTAATTGACAATAACATTTTTGCTGATTCAATTATCATAGTCAAATGCGAATACATTTATGAGCATTTTTCAGTCAAGCAGTTGCTTACTCTTAACGGGACAAGCTCCTAGTACAAGATCAAAGTCATCAAGAGCTATTGTTCCGATCCATTGATTTGTATTCATCCTAACCTCAAATGTTACCTGAAATAAAATCAAAATATTTAGTGCACAAGATTGAACCAAAACAATTGTTAAATGTATTTTTTTATCTTTAAGTAGTAAGTGCCATCAGACAAGCCATTAACATGCAAAGTATCACCATCTGCCTTTTATTACAGACGCCGAACTCTGACCGCCAAACACTGTCCTCAAAAAGATGGAGACTATAACAATATGTCATCACTTCTGGTGGTGACATAATAACAAAATTATCGGGGCAATGTTGGTAGAACAGTCCAGAATGAAAGCAGTGATTCTTATTATGACATGTAAACCGCCGTTTTATCATGAAGTAACAAGCATTTGATTTGGAAACAAAGCAGTTTCAGTTTGCAATAAAATGGACCACAAACGTTATTTCTTGAACCATTTTCTCACTTTATAATTGTAGTTATACTGTAGATTTAGGCTCTCTTCCAACCATATGTTACTCTGTGAGCCTGTTTTAACCCACAGAAGCTGCTTGGTGCCATCTGTCAGGGTTGTGAACACCCTCAGCGACCCTATCTCAGGCCCATACATATAATACCAGAACGTAAAGCAGTTTCCAAGGTCATCAGTTGGAGGGAGATTAACACTGTAATATGACACCATGTCACCTTCACGCAGTATGTTGTTGGCGATGTCAACGAAAACAAAGTTCCTAGTGCCTAAATTCAGGTAAAGTGTATGGTTTATAAAATGCCGTGTCTCCATAAAATTCTGTTTCGACATGTTTTATACAGTATATAGGTTGACACCCTGCTAAAACTAACTGTAAAATTGTAAATGCGCTTCTGTTAAAAACCATTGACAATTTCATGAACAATTTCTAGTCTATCAAGCTATAATTCATCTAAAAATGTTATGATATCTACCCATATTACTATGATCCTTCGTTGGTCCAATCTTTGGAATGGTGCCATTCGATTTCTTCCAAGCCACACTCGGCACATTTGATTTGCTTTTCCAACTGCAAAATCCACCACTGAATTCGCAGACTACCCCAAGCGCACCTATATAACAAAGATATACGTTTTTACACAGTTCTTTAAACTGTGTTCTTTAAGTACTTTGTTTTGCACTTTCCAAATAATTCTCATTATGTGACACCTTACTCATGTTAAAATCTCATCTTATTCTAAAATCTCTAACGATGAATAAAATTGTACATTGGCATTACCCTCGGGCGACACGTCGGCATATTCTGGATCGAGTTTGCATGGGGCTTCCAGTATGTCTATATCATCAATGGCTATTTTACCATTGAAACCACTTTCCCTTGTTGATGTAATTAATATCTAAAACAATGAACCACGTCAAAATCAAATCAACCAATACGAATAGTCAACTCTATTGCACATGAATTGTAATGATTAGAATTGCTAGATATTAATTTTCCAAATGCACATACCAGGCATGGTGTGTAAAGGATCAACTGGACAACAAAATATGTATACCGAAAACAGAAAACAGGCGAAAGGTCACTTACCTGCGATGTCAATTTGTTGTATCGGGATTTCAGACTTATTTGCCCATGCAACCATGAATCTGAATTTTCATTTACGACCTTCCAAAGTTTGGCATCTAGGGGCATTTCGAGTGTAACTTTATTCCTGATGGCAACAGTAAGAGATGCAATCCCAGAACCAGTGAAGAAGTACCAAAACGAGAGACACCTATCGGCTCTGCTCGTTGGCAGTATGTCACTGATTAGAATAGCATTGCTTTGCTTGGTTACACGTCGGGATGCATCAACAAACATGTAGAAACCTTTAAAACATAATTCACCAGAATTTATGACACTGCTGAAGTTTGCTGCATGCATTTAACATTAACAGTTCAATGTTTTTGAATTAATGCAATCCCAAGGAAGCGTTTAGAATTACATTAAAATGCAATTGCCCCGTGCACTACAGTTACTCATGTACTTACCCTTGGGTAGTCCAGTCGTGTGATCAAAAGCAGGGCCAGCTATTTCGTTCATTGAGTTACCTCTGCCTCTTAACCAATCAGAGTCACCTGTCTCATCATTGATCCAGTTGCAAGTCCCCATCTCAAAATCGCAGGCATCTGAAAAACGCACGAAGGTTGCTTACATTTTAAATCATATTGCTGCCATCTAAAACGCCATTGTGGAAATGGCATTGCCATTCGTGGAATTTGATTCATTTGGTACGACCTATAGGCTAAGCACTACTTTACTTGATAGACAAATTGTTGAAACAATATTTACAGGGAATATGTTATTCCTTTACTTACTTTGGTTTTCGCACTCTCCATTTGTCACATCAACGTCATCAACAGAAATGTCCCCCAGTTGTCCAGAGTAATGTCCTTCAAATACTAAATCAAAACTTCCCGCGGGGTACACAGTCTTTTTAGCCAACCTCCATGTGTTACCCATATCGTAAGATCTACTCCAAAACGGTATTTCTAAGGTTGTTGTCTCATTAGTCATGTAAACATTCAGCTTTCCTATGTTTTTACCAAACATGTGTGTCCAAAACCTAATGCAACTTGCTTGGAAGGGTGTTACATTGAAAGAAGATAGCCGAAATCTTGCTGAATTGTTAACCTTATCAAACGATCTAGTATCAAGTACCATATAGTGCCCTACTGATGTCTGTAATGTATGGTCTACATCAGGACCTGATCCAAAGTTTTTAGTTCTTCCAGAGTTTCGAAGCCAAGTAAATTGTTGGGAATTGTCAAGTGATATAGAACACCCTTGTTCTGTCTCAAAATCACACTGGTTGTCTAAAAATGAAATCTATCCTGATAATACAAGTTTTCATTAATTCGATCTTTAAAATCATCATCAGTTTCATATGCTTATAGATCGAGCACTCAAAATTGCAAGGTTTCTTATTCGTGTTCCAATTTTATACGCTGTTGTTATCGGCCTAATATTTACAGAAGTATATATCAACTCATGTAACAAGATTTCATCCTGTTTTTTATTTGAAACAATTTAGTATTGTTGTGTTCTTAATTGAGTATTAAGTTACATTATGTTGTAATCGTACAGCTTTACTATGTTACCTTTTCGTGGACATACACCAGGTGTAATTCGAACATCATCAAGTGCAATGTCTCCCCTAACACCATAACCTCTTATTGCTTCAAATATTATCTGAATACAGAAATCATGTAAAGATGAATTGAACTTAATTTGATGAACACTGATATACTGCGAAGTGGATTCATCACTGAGAATTCAAATCATAAGCCAAAACTCTTACCTTTGTATCTTTTGTCAAAGTAACAGTCAATTGGGTGTATACCCAACGGTCTTCTTGCGATCCTTCTCGTATCCATATTACGTCATCTGGCTTGGATGCTTGTCCAACCTTGAGAAGCCTGAGTTTTCCTACATCGCTCCCATACATATGGGACCAGAAATTGAGACATACCTTTCCAGGTTTCAACGTTGGACTTTGAACTCTTGCTGATTGACCTGGTCGTGATCTGATCGAAATTGCAGCAATGTACCAACCCTCATCTATTTATGAAGTAAACATTTGAAGTTTAGATATGTTATGAAAAAGAGAAGTTTATTATTGAGTTCTCTAATTATAACATCACTATTACAAGCGAGTAACCATGGGGATGGAATGTATTAAGTGTAAGTTATTAGTTTCCCGATGGATTGTATTTTAAGGCATTTGGTTACCTGTTCCCTTTGTATGATCAACGATAGGCCCTGTTTTTGATACACCTGTCGGACCCTGCATTCTGATCCATGGAACATAACCATTCAACTTTGTGATCCAGTTGCACACCCCAGTTTCGAAATCACAGTCGTTTGCTGTTGGTGCTATGGTAAAATGATAATGTTTATCACAAAGCAGACATGTCTGAACATGCATATGGAGATCAAAAATATATAATGATTGAACAATACTTTGAAAAGCAATTACTACTGTTGTAAACATGACAACACAGAATGTGTACATTAGTTTTACCTGGAGTCGAGGCTGGAGGCATGGATATGGCTGTTGTTGGAATATCCGTTGTCATAAATCCAGGTTTAGCATACGATGGTTCCACTGAAAGAATGCATATTAATTAGCACCCTGAATTAATTTTGATATAGTGTACGGGATGAATTATGAAAAGGGATCGATATCTTTAGTCCATCTCTTTTTCATTCTCTATTTAAAACTTACAACTACACGTTTCATCTGTAAAAGTTATGTCATCAACAGCAATGTCACCAAAATGGTTGCTTCCTCTCACACCTTCGATCAAAACCTGGAAAGATTCGATGTAAATGTAATTGTTGTTTCGATTGGTAAATTGATTTTGATTTTGTTCAGCTGTCGCCTTTTTATAATCGTGAGGTTCAATTCACGTTTTGCATACGTCACTGTAAACAACATCTCTAAAATGGTCTTCGCAATCCTTTATCTTGCAATATTAAAAAGTTAATACTTACATTTGGTATATTAATATAAATATATCTTAATGGACTTAAATTCGATATTAACGTGACAAAGTGGCACCAGATGATTGAAATTACAAACGTGTAACAATATGGTACAGACGTTAAACGTCGACGCTTAAACCAAACACCGGTCATTGACATAGGCTATAACAATATGTCATCACTTCTTGTTGATAACCCTTAATTTACCTTGTAATCATAAAGGCTACTTCTGATAACAACTTGTGCAAACTTCCAGTCGTTCCCTTGTTGCCCACTCAGCTGCCAAACGCGCCTAGGCCTTAATGAAAACCCACGTCTTATACTCTGCACATATATGTTTAACGTACCAATACCTAAAATGGAGAAGTTATCACCACCAAAAATATCAATATCATCTAAATGAGATAACTTAAACATATTATTATGAATTCATATTTTTGTTTTTGTGATTCTTTCTCTTGTGGAATATGATTATGTGATAAAAGAGAGGCCTTGGAATTGTATAAAATAAGTCCAAACCCGACAATACTGCAAGACATCAACATCCTACCAATCAGACACATTATCAATTGACATGTTTTTCGACCGTACAAAAATGGTCCATACCTTCTCCGTACATATGATACCAGAACTTCAAACATCTAGCTTTTGTACTTGGAAACCATTCGCTCTGTACTTGAGCAGTATCCCCAGCTTTACCCGGCCTGCTGCTTTCAATAAAAAGATAGTGACCTAAAACAAATAGAAAAATATAGGCCTAGTTGTCTTATATTCAATTATATAATATTAGCTATATCTACATAACAGTATATGCTTCATTACACACATACAAATTGCCATTCGTCAAGTATTGCAGAGCGACAATTCTGAATTCCCTCTACCATAGACACACTTACCCTCTAAAGAATTGCGTGTATGGTCGATTTCGGGTCCCGTAAATCTGCTCTTAGTCCCCCCATATCCTCTAAGCCATTGATAGTAATTCGTGTTTGTCCATGTACACATTCCATATTCAAAGTCACAGTTTCCTAAAATATTCTAACATGTTGTAATCCCGGGGTTGTAATGTTCTATAATAAGGACAGGATTCAGGTCATATAGGTTTCAGTGGCGGATCCAGGAACCAACAGGGGGGGGGGGGCAAATTTGAGGTCAGAGAAAAAACCTTTTGGGCCCATATAAGTGAAAAGTGGGCCCAAATTTTGAAAATTTGAGGCCCATTTTCTTCAAAATTTGGCCTAAAATTAAAAAAATAAGGCCTTAGAAGGCCCAATAATGACCAAAAGGCCCACTTTTTGGCCCAACTTTTTTTTTATTGGCCAACCTTAGGGGGGGGGGGGAGGCCCGGGCCCCATGCCCCCACCCGGATCCGCCATAGGGTTTCAGTTTGGAATATACTACTACTATGTTTTGCAAACGGCTGGGTTCGATTTTGCTATGGAGTTGTGTTATTATCATGCATTTGGGATAAGAGTAGTATTATAAACTGACCTGGTTTGGGACAAGATCCTTCAAAAATAGCTATATCGTCAATTGCAATATCCCCACGTGGTCCATTTCCAACAATAGCTTCAAATAACACCTTGTAATCAACTCCTGACGTAAGACTAGTCTGAGCGACATTCCAAGCATTTCCTTTATTGCCACTGGTCGTCCATAGTTTATCCTTTAGCGCCTTGTACGTCATATACACATTAAGGGTTCCCATATCATACCCGTACATGTGGTACCAAAACTGCAGACATTTACCACGAGTTTTAGGGTATTTCGGTGACTGCGTACTCACTAACGTCAATGGTTTACGTCCAGAAGAACGCGCATAAAGATACTGACCTAAATCAGAGTATTGAATTTACGAAAATAATAAAGAAATCCGAAAACAAAAAGCGTTGCAAATAGGACAAATATGAAATTGCAAAGGATGTGTCCGGGTATATGCCCTTTTGGTCCCTCAGTCAAATGTATGTTAAATATGTTTTTTATTACTGTCCTAGTTATATTTGATAAGTATATTTACTTTTTCACGAGTTTTGATGCAAAATTAACCCCCTGCTGAGAGTCAGAATAAGTATCTTAACCAAAAAAAATAGTCATTATCATAGAATAAAAACCTCAATGGCAACATGTATGACTTGCAAAGAAGATATAACTTAAGACCCATAAAGAATTTAAAAGAAAATCATATTTTTGAAATATATTTAAGGATTAAATTTTTTTTCAAATTTTTGAATTTCCCGCCATTTTAATTTGAAGGGGGAAAAACAAGATGGCTGCCATTTGATGTAAGAAATATCAGAAAAAAAGTTGCTTCACTTTTAGTTTTCACAATGAGCACAGTTTTCCGGTTTAGGTTTTTTGACTGATTCTGACTCTTCATCACCAGGGTCATGAATAGAGATTATAAAATTGAAACCGGAATGTTGTGCTCAGCATGAATTTGACTGAAATATGTGTAACTTCACCAACACAATTGAAGTCTCAAAACTGGATGCTCAGTAACTTTGAGTGACTATAATCCCTTGATTACCCAGATAAACACCAATTCACTTATCCAGAAATGCCATTCAATGTCTATACAAAGAAAGTAAGCAATGTTTTGGAGGATATGTTTCAAACCTTTTGTATAAATAATTCATTTAATATTTGCCATTGATTTTTTTTCAATTCTGACAAAGTGATATGCACTGTCTTTGATGCCAATATTCTTCATTAATTGTGATACAAATTGATATTTTTGTACTCTCAGAAGAAGGATAAGATATTGAAGTTTAATAATATGTGTGATTGAGTTGGTTTTTCAGACATTACAATTTTCAATATTTTCTAAGTCGATACCTAGACTCATTCCCAGACTCATCCTTTTAAAACAGTATAAAAAGGCACCTCAGAGATTTGGGGATTTGAAAATGTACCTGTTGATGTCCCAAATGTGTGATCAACACTTGGTCCGGTGAATCTGGTGGGTGTTTGTCCGGAATTGACTGTCCAGTTGTATTTGGAACCCAAAAGGGATGTATATCCGCACATATCGCCACTTTCAAAGTCACATAGGCTATCTGTAATTGTTTTGAAAAAAGAGTAAAGCTGAAGAATAAAGCTAAATAATTACAATGAGTGTAACACTATAGAGGAGTTTACCCAAGATAGAAGCAAATTATGACCAGCTTGCCTTTTATACTATTCAAGTAGAAACTTACATAAATCACCCTTGCAAGGACCCATATCAACCATAACGTCATCCAAAGCAATGACACCATTCCAGAGTACACCTCTCATTCCTTCAAAGAGAATCTACAAGACAAGTAAGTAAATAATGCAGCATTGTCAACCCACACTGGATCAATGGCTTTAGACCTAATTTCTCAGGGGCAATATGTATACTTTCTTTTTTATGCATGCGTTTGGTTACTGTTAACCCCCCTATCACACCAAACTAGTTCTTACCCGTTCTTGCCAGTCCTACGAAAACGTCGTCAAACGGGCTCAATCTGGCTGTGGTCGGGAAATGTGTCTGAAATAATTAGCTTCTTCGTTCTTAAACAGTCTTCAATAAGTCCATCTCGTTCGCAGTTCGTTCAGGTCGCACCACGTCGGAGTGCAACGTCGTAGAACGCGTCCCTTAGTCTAGAAGGTCAACATGACCTGATTACAAAACGGTATGGTCGTCATCGAATTTTGAATCGATTCAAAATTCTAAAATCACATTCCCGTCTGAGAACGTTCAAAAAGTTCGTAAATAGACCTTAGAAAGTTGCAGCTACGTTCATTCCGTTTGCACACAGTTTAAAACCAGTTTTGAAGAACCCAGTGACAACTTGTTTGGTGTGATAGCTATATTTTTGCTAACTCGTTCATAAGCAGTGTTAAATAAGTTCTTAAACAGTTTAAACCCGTTTGCAATTAGTTCTACCTCGTTCTCAACACGTCCGCAGACAGTTCAACTCGTTGTTAAAACGTCCCTTACGACGGTTCCGTTCGTAGTACGTCCAGCTCGTCGTTAGTACGTTGTCACTCGTTCTAATTGTAGAACGTGACGACCACGAGAACATTTTGAGCATTGTCTAAGTTCTAGAGGACCTACCGTTCGAGTACGTTCGATGAAGTTTGTAAATAGATAGATTTCGAGAACGCAGTGAGAACTAGTTTGGTGTGATAGTAGGGTTACCGAAATATGATAAAATTGCCGAATTTGATGTTTGTCAACATTGCTAGTTTCAACAGCGAAAATACACGTCGGGGACTAAAAATATTGTAAATTACAATTTTTTAGAGGATTGCAAACTATAAGTTAATAATGAGATTATAGAGCGGCAGCCTTTTGGAGAACCATATCATTTTCTCAATTCTATCTAGTAATATCTAGCCCCATATGTTTTACTGTAATATTTTTTATTCATCAATGGATAACTGATCTATTGGATGGGATTATAACTAAGGTCGCCAGAGAGAAACATTGTAAGTCTTATATTTTACTAGGCAATATAGATCAAACTATTTTCGAGAGAGAATCTTCAATAAAAGATTTTTCCTCAACAAAACTATTATAGCCATTTATCGAGTCATAGCCTCTGTTCAATATCTGACCTGGGACGTATAATTAGTTCTGATTGTAAGTTCCCCTTGGTGCCATTCATTTCCCCTGGATCCCTTTCTTGTCCAAACTGGTAGTCCTTTGTCTTGATTCACCGAGGCAATATACACATTTAGTGTATTGACCAATGGACCATACATGTAGAACCAAAAACTCAAGCAGATTCCTTCAGTTGGAGGGACGATGTAAGATCGAATCCTGGCAGAGTCATTAGCGGTCCGTATTGTGCCAAAGGGGATTGTCATAAACCATCCATTTTCTGAAATTAGATAGAAAAAAATCCGTTGATAGATTCTGAATATATAGCCAATAAATTATGAATATTAAGCAAAATCTGATTACATAACTGAGAAGACTAGATTTAAAGAGCACCAATACCTGTTTTAGTGGTATGATCAAATGTTGGACCGCCATCATTGTCAGGTGACGTTGCCTGTATCCTCATCCAATCAAAGTCGTTATCAGAATCACGTGTCCAGTCACATGTTCCGATCTCGAAGTCGCAATCATACCTAGATGGCACTCTTGGCAATGGTGTACTCTGCAGTGTTGTTGGTGTTGCTGTTGTACCAAAAATATTGGCATCGTATGGAATAACTAGAAATAAAATTTATCAGGATTTCAACTTAAAGTTTAAGCAGTTTATATTTTATAACTAGTTTTAATGTCATCCACGTCCATAATGTCATCCACGTCCATACATTCGCCAGGCCTATACATGTAGTTAATGGCATCTCAAATGTGTTTTCTTTTAGCCAACCATACACACGTGCACAACGTAAATGAGAGGCAAAACACCAATATTTTCAAACTATCATATTTATGTCGCAGGAGCGTAGTTAGCTTTCAGTCAGGGGGGGGGGGGGGGCGATCGCCAATCAAATTTCGGTTTTCAATCTGGGCGATCGTGGCATAACCGAGCCAAAAAAAGATGTTTTTGTATTTTACAAAAGATAATGCAAACGTCCTTCAAAATTGAGCTAGAAGCTAGAAAAAGCATTCGCGCGTTCGCACCCGTCGCCCCCCCCCCATGGCTACGCCTATTTGTTACATTTTGTGCATGCTATACACACAATGCTTATTATTATACAGATATAAAGACAGCGTGACGCATGTGATCAATTATTTTATTGAAGTACAATTACAAAAAAGCTGTTATTAAGCTGTAAGCATGTAATGTTGTTTTTCCACATTGTGTAGGAACTATATTATGATTATAATTTCACTTTTGGATTTATCTGTGTGCAGGCATTAATCGTATATTTTTATATTTTATATCATGACTTTGTGTTAAAGTAACACTTGATAACAATTATATTACATAAATAAATAAAAAAAATAGTATCATACTTATTTTTTTTAAGCGAGGACTCATTTAAACAGGGGAACATTTGATGAAACTGCAAGGCACACGTGACCGGTTTTATCAAATTTATTTTATTGCATGCTCCTGTTTAATTTGACAGAAAACAACGTTCATCTCATTTTTCATCACTTAAAAGATCTTATCATTGTCCATATTGTCCATGTTACAACAATTTACAACATGTCTGTTCCGAACGGTAATACTAGAACATTCCTATCCAACCTATGAACACGTTCACGGTAGACTTTTTTTTACAAAAACACAGCCAAATAAATTTTAAATCTAGGCCTTCTCCAGATAAACTAATCAAAAGAAAGATCTCCCCAAGGTGACTCATCGTTGATAGCATATATAACAACCAGTGGGAATAATTGGGTATTTGTAAGCAATTGAGTAAGACAAGATGCAACATCGCATATTCATAGCAATTTTGATGTTCAAATTCACAATCGAAGGTTCGGTTGCAATTACAAAGGATCAAGTAAAGGAGATTAAAAAGGATATTGTGGAACTTATCGAGGCTAACAGAGATCCAAAGGACGGTGCACTCCATTTTATTCCTGGTTTTGTCCGAGTAGCATTCCACGACTGCGTAGGCGGCTGTGATGGGTACGTGGAGCATTATACATTACATGCATGAACGCGCATGAAATAACTTTTTACTTTTAAGTTTGATCCAAGAACTATATGTTGAAGTAATTTATATTATTCTCACGTCTTATATATCGATTCATGATCATCAAATGAACAAGTACGTGCAATTTATTATATCGAAATATTATATATAATTGCGATTAATTCTCTGTAGGTGCCTCAATCACTCTGATGAAAATAATGCTGGCTTGAGTGTATATGTTGGACCCCTTGAAACAATCTACTTAAAATATAAGACCCTCTTGTCCAGGGCAGACTTCTGGCAGCTAGCCGGTATAACAGCAATAGAAAGGAGTGTCGAGAAATGCAAAGACTGCATTAAACCAGATTTGCCATTTGAGACAGGTTTGGAAACATATATATACAGTTTTTTTTATATGTATGCACCCCCTCTAGAACCATACACGTAGAATTGCCACCCTATCATGTAATACTTAATTTTGTTCCTTACCCCCCTATCACACCAAGCTAGTTCTTACCCGTTCTTGCCAGTCCTACGAAAACGTCGTAAAACGGGCTCAATCTGGCTGTGGTCGGGAAATATGTCTGAAATAATTAGCTTCTTCGTTCTTAAACAGTCTTCAATACGTCCATCTCGTTCGCAGTTCGTTCAGGTCGCACCACGTCGGTGTGCAACGTTGTAGAACGCGTCCCTTTGTCTAGAAGGTCAACATGACCTGATTACAGAACGGTATGGTCGCCATCGAATTTTGAATCGATTCAAAATTCTAAAATCACATTCCCGTCTGAGAACGTTCATAAAGTTCGTAAATAGACCTTAGAAAGTTGCAGCTACGTTCATTCCGTTCGCACACAGTTTTGAAGAACGCAGTGGCAACTTGTTTGGTGTGATAGCTATATTTTTGCTAACTCGTTCATAAGCAGTGTTAAATACGTTCTTAATCAGTTTAAACCCGTTTGCAATTAGTTCTACCTCGTTCTCAACACGTCCTCAGACAGTTCAACTCGTTGTTAAAACGTCCCTAGTTGGATTGAAGTACGACGGTCCCGTTCGTAGTACGTCCAGCTCGTCGTTAGTACGTTGTCACTCGTTCTAATTGTAGAACGTGACGACCACGAGAGCATTTTGAGCATGTTCTTAGTTCTAGAGGTCCTACCCGTTCAAGTACGTTCGATGAAGTTTGTAAATAGACCCCAAACGGTTCTAAGTACGTCCAGTCCGTTCGTACACAGTTGAAGCCCGTTTTCGAGAACGTAGTGAGAACAAGTTTGGTGTGATAGTAGGGTTATGAAAAGTAGCATAAGACTGCAAAGTTTCAAGATCAAGGAGTGTCCCTGAAAAAAGTTACAATGTATCGAAGTATGCGGGTACGTGATAATTCATAAGCATTTTTGTAAGCATTTTTGGACCCTTGATCTGTTCACTATACCCGTTACCCATTTCTATTAATTAAGTTGGTACCATACCCCTGGCCTCCCTATAAGCCACTCTGCCTATATATCCTTTAATTGATCTCAAAGTAACCAGGAATTGCCCCTAAATGATCCCGTACCCACATATTTCGATACATTGTTTCTTTTTTCAAGGACATCCCTAGATTCTGAAACTTTGCAGTCGTATGTAACTTACTATGATGAACAAAATGGTATATATCATGATAGGGTGACAATGCTACATATTTTAAAGGGGGTGCATACATATGGACATACATATGGTATACAGTGTGTATAAAAAACGCAACAGATTGTTATCTCGGAAAGGCACAAAACCAGTGATAACAGCCTTGATTTAATTCAATGCACCATAAAGCCACGTGTTTCCTCTTTACAATGATATATCATTCATTGATATTTGGTCATGGTTGGGCGAGAAATCATTTCATTTGCAAAGTTGGCCAAAATTAGCTTGGGACCAAGTTATAAACATCGCAAAAGTCAGTGTACGGAGCACGATGCAATATTGGAAAAAAACATAAAACCAATGCTGACTGCATCCTTTTCATTCAATGTACCAAAAAGCCAAATTACTCCTCTTTGCGATGAAATATATCATTCATTCACAGGGAGTCATGGCTGGCCGAATAATCAAAAATTGCAACAAGTAGTTATCTCGTAAAATCAAAAAACTAGTGATGACTACATCAATTTCATTCAATGTACCATAAAGCCACGTCTCTCCTCTTTGCAATGATATGTCATTCATTCACATGTGATAATGGTTAACAGTGGGTCAAAATCGGCTCTGCACCAAGTTAATTTCGATATTGAAAAAATCAGTGCAAGGGCTAAGTGCCAACAGAAGTTCCTCTTACTTGAACTGTTGTGACTTTTTCTTTTGGAGCATCTGTGCTCACAATTTCTCCACCAGATATTGAAAAACATTGAGAAAGAATTGCTCATGGGCTGATTTTCTCTGCTTTAACCCACAGATGACTCAGGGCTAAACCATGCATGACGTCGACAGATGAGCGCATCTTTATGTGCAAGGAAGTGGTAGTAATTTGGAAGGGTATAGGATGTGTTCTTGCAAGAGTATGAGTATGAACACTTTACTGTCTATGCCACACCTGTCGCACCTTCTTCCAATAGCCCCTATGCCCCGTGTAATGACTTTTGCAATATTTAAAAATTGGGTCCGAGCTGAATTTTGCCCCACTTTGCAAAATTAATGATTATTCGGCCAGGGATGACTCCCTGTGAATGAATGATATCCCATTGCAAAGAGGAGTAATTTGGCTTTTTGGTACATTGAATGAAAAGAATGCAGTCTGCATTGGTTTTATGTTTCCTTCCAATATTGCATCGGCCTCCGTACACTGACTTTTGCGATGTTTATAACTTGGCCCTTAGCTAATTTCGGCCCACTTTGCAAATGTAATGATTACTCGCCCAACCATGACCAAATATCAATGAATGATATATCATTGTAAAGAGGAGACGCGTGGTTTTATGGTGCATTGAATGAAATCCATGCTGTTATCACTGGTTTTGTGCTTTTCCAAGATAACAATATGTTGCGTTTTTTTGATACGCACTGTATATGAAGCATTGAGTTATATCTAGGATGAAGAAAATAATTAAGAATTAAGATAAAACGAACTGTTATCGAGGTGAAGGAGAGGCGGTGTCAAACCCCGTGTGTCAATCAAGTGTGTACGATCCAAAAGGTGACATTGAAATGATAGTGACCTTGCATGTACATCATGTTTGCAAACTGGATCACGTTGGAGTTCTGAGTCAACTCAAAATAAAAAAATGATATGATGGGAACATTTTGCAAACCTTTCGATCATGGGTTCACTTGAAATCCTCGAGGATGTAATACAAACCTTGATATTGAATTTATCGTGGTCCTGAAGTTCAAGGTTTACAACTAAAACGTGCACGAATTCAACTGCTCGTTTTGTTTGGTTGTTTATGACTTACAGTTGACTTAACAACTTATTTAAATCAATTCTGTTTACACATTTAATGCTAGACATAAATTAATGATGTCGACGCATCTGTACAAAACATTCATTTTCAAGAGACTTCAAATCTTCATTAGGTCCTAAATTATCACAGTTGTCTTATCAAGTATTGGCCAAAAATGCATGGCTCAAAATCGCTTTAGACCACGATATGTTTAGTGAATGGTAGTGTGATATAAAAAAAGAGAACAAAAATTGAAAAAAATGAAAATTATAAATGAAAATATATAATATTTGTGTTTAGGGAGAAAAGATTGTAAAGATTCGCCTAATTACACAGGTGACCCGAGAAGTTTTCCTATGAACGCGGGTCATGGGGACATCAACAATGCATTGACGTTCATGGAAGAAGCATTTGGTAAAAATACGTATTATTTTTACGTACTTATAAAATCATTTGATACAAGAATCGTGAATCCAAGGTTTTAAAGAGGAATCATGAAATTATTTAACTAAAACTTTTATCTTTTATGACTTTCAAAAAATCCAAGTTGATCTTATTTGTTGAATCAAAATAACTATGACATCTTTAGGTTGTATAAGTATATGTAATGGATACACCAGAGATTAGCACATAGGACCGCAGTCATCCTACATGCATTAGTATCACGTATATTCGTACGTAACTTATGCAGGTCTCCCACGCAATGAACCTGAATTGGCCACAGCTTTAATTGGAGCTCATACCCTTGGCGAGGCCCATAGGGAACATTCAGGTTGGGAAGGTATTTGGACAGAGACGCCTGACCAACTGAGTAATCGTTACTACAAAAGCCTCGTGAAACAGAAATGGTCTCAGATTAATCTGAATCAAGGTGATCCTCGCAAAGATCCAGTGTGGCAATGGCAACCGGGTAAAAAACGTAAGTGTCACACCATGACGATCTCGCTTATTTTCCACATTTTTGTCTAACATATAACTATAAGAACATATTAGATATTTCTTATTGTGTTAGTTCATTGTTTCTTTTTATGAACAGAAAATCCTCTTGCGGCTTTTAAAGTTTAAAATGTGTCTTTTTTCTCAGCGACGAATATGATTTCAAAGTCACATATCCTTTACTGACTCCTTTAGTATGTGTGGAGTACATTTGAATTTCTTAAATTCTAATAAGTGCAATTCCAATAAAACGTTGCAAAGCCTGCTTCTTTTTAATGGTGCGGTAAGATTTCATAAGTAGGTCCATACCATGGACTATGATGGCTCCATCAATCCATACCATACCATCATTTATCGCACGTCTACCGAACCACAAAAGTATGATACCTAAGCGTATCAAATTGTCAGCCTCAAAAGTACATTATTGTTATTTTATGAGTTCGAATCGCTTTACTTGTGTATATTTTAGTCACTACTACGAAGGCGCGTTACCTTAAGAAGAGGAAGGAGAAGATCATGATGTTGAACACAGATATGGCTTTTGCAAAGAAACTTTCACCAGATGCAACAGGAGAAGCCATATGTAAGGTTTCATCTAAATGTAAGGCTCAGCCGGAAACAGCCGAATGGGTACTGAAATATGCGAATGATGCTAAACTCTGGGAGAAGAATTTTGCCATTGCTTACATGAGAATGATCCGTACGGGATACAAGGATGGAGATCTAACCCTTGTTAAGTAAACCTAATAACCCAAATGATTCTTGCTGAACATTTGATACGCACATTAATTATGGCGTCTGCTGTATATTATGCATGCGCCTTATAAAGATCGCAGTGCAATTGTTGCGAGAACTTACCATCACAGTTATCATTTCTAATTATGATGTCATCAATCGCAATCGATCCTTTACCCTCGTAGTCCTTCATAACCTCAATTCTAAGCTGGAATATATTTGATATACATTTTGTTTATTACACAGTTTATTGGTATGTTGTGTGACTTCTCAATAGTAGAGATAAACCTATACATATTGCTTGTACTATATTTTGATCAGATTCAAAGATTGTGAGAAACGTCCGTGTGTAAAGAATGAATATGGATTAGAACAGAATAAGATGATAGAATAAATAGTGCTGGGATTATCATTTTAGAATTAAAGCAATTAGATAAAAGTGTTTTAATTACCCAATAGTCGTATTGACTTGAATAGCCAACCTGCCCATAGTTCCATTTGTTTTGCCAGTTATTGGTCAATGCGTATAGAGGAACCGTAATATTGTTCCCCGTGCCTGCGAGTTGCTCCAAAAATACTCGGATAAAACCGAGGTCTTTGTCCATATGAAACCAGAATGTGAGGCACATTCCTTTAGAACTCGTTGGAGAAAATACTTCACTGAGCAATGATGCCTTATCGTTATTGTTTTTGTTTGTAATATCCACAAAGGCGTATTGACCTGAAAACACATGTATAGTATATACTAGCCTATGCTTGACGATATTGAAAAACTGTAAACTTAATGTATTTGATTGTTCAAATTTATTGCATAATGAATATTATAAATATAAATATAATATAAATGACTTTTATATGTGATGAACTGCTTTTCTTATAAATAAATGTTCAGATTTATTGTATGCTATATAAAAACTTTAAAAAAGATTTATTGAAAACCATTTATCTAAAATAAAATGTTGATGGACCAATAGCCTAAATGTTTCAGATTTTTTGCACACACACACATGTTTTGCTCGTTAAAAATACATGACATTTACATTCATTTGGAACAATATGTGTTTGTTTTAAAATTTGGATTTAGAATTCACCACCCAAAGTTTCAGTCAGATTTTTTTACCTTGGGCTGTCCCTTTGGTGTGGTCAGTACCAGGTCCACCGTATCTTGTCATAACGTAGCCACGTCCAATGTTCCAGTCCATATCATTATCAGCATTGTTAAACCAGCTGCATAAACCATTCTCGAAATCACAATTGCCAGGAGCTTGGCATTGGCCTGGTTTTAAGCTTATGTCATCAACTGCTATATGTCCTTTGTTTTCATTATATACAATTGCGTAAAACTCGACCTGCAAATGTCAACATGCATTGAAACAAAGTGTTTTAGTATAATGTTATTGAAGCATGAATTTAGATTTTTGAAAGACTTTATAAGATTTACCTTGTAAAATCCATTTTGTACAATAGATATCTGACCAAGCGTCCACCTCGCTCCCTGATCATGGGCGTTTGACCAAACGGGGTACTGTTGCCTCTTGCCATCTATCGACAGGTACACATTGAGGACTCCTAGGCCCTTTCCATTCATAATGTACCAGAAGTTTAGACACTGTGATACCGACTGTGTGAACGTTGGGGAGAGGATGGAAGAGGTGCCTGGCCCTCCTTTCCCCGTGGCGATTATATAATTTCCTAAAATATGAAAATACATGTAATAATTAAATTGATTGCTCATTGAAAAGTTTTACTTTAAAGATGAGTAATATCGATTGTTTATCTAATTAATAAAGTCACAAAAATATGTGCACAGTACACCACCTCAAAAAGTTTGAAAATCAGTAATCTCCTTTTGACCACATATCTAAGGCTCTCGGACAGGTGAGGTTAGAGATCTGATTACAACCAGACTTCACCTTACAGGTAAGGCTCATCCCGGGGGCTTATCTAATTCTATAATTAACGCTTATATTTGGGCTTTAGCAGATTCTAATTCATATTACATGTTTTAGTACCTCTTTCAGTTCCCGTAGTGTGATCTGATTTAGGTGCAGCTCCAGTGGAGGTTATACTGGTTTGTCGTAACCATGTATTTGTGTCGTTAACAGGAACCACCCAACCGCAAAGACCAGATTCGAATGAACAGAATCCAGCTACAGGTGAGTGATTGTAAATTTAAACAATGCAATATATTAACTTATTTCTAACATTATATTGAATGCTATATGCCTACCTATTAGACAATATGGAGGTATTCTTTAAAAAAAGGATGGACCCAAAATATTTACCCGTTGGGATTGAATATGAATTTAATAACGGGTATATTTTTCACAAAAGTACTTGTTTTAAACGTGCATTTACCTGGTTCTTTACAAGAGCCAGCTCCAATCCTTACGTCATCAAGAGCTATCTCTCCATAGTAACCAGGTTTCCTGTTCCCAACAAACATCACTTTATACTTTTCATTCATTCGCAGTTTCACTTGTCCAAAGTTCCATGCAAAGCCGTGTGTACCAATTCTCGTCCATATGGGTCCTTCGATGACACCATTTATCTGAGTAATGATATTATTGTTTGAACAAACGCATTATTTAAGTGTCATCGTCTAACATAAAAATGTGGGACAGTCAGTTAAAATTTAAAACCTTAATGTAACAGTGCAACAATAAAAAATGTTTGTATACTCTCAATGCACGCGTCTTTTGGTAATGCCGCTCTTAATGCCAGGAAAATACACAATTGATTACATTACATACGGTTTTTGCAACAAATCTCGTCAGCATCTCATTCAACGGTAAGTGAGATGAGACAAAAAAAGTTTGTTCTCGATGTAATACCACATCATATTAGAATCAACCACCTACATCAATGTAAACGCTGAGACGTCCAACATTTGGACCGTACATGTGATACCAGAAGCTTAAACATAGTGTAGTGCTTGAGCCGATCAAACTTGATACCAGCTTCGCCCTTCCGGATTTACGGTCATCCGATGTTGCCAAGGGAACGTAGACGTACCAGCCCTGACCTTATGAGAAAAAAGAGTTGTACATTGAAGATTTGCATTGTGTAGATTCATATCCATCATAGGAACAAAGATGAGATGAGATAAATGTCACAATTTCATATTTCCTCACTCATATGATTCCCTGACGTGCCCACCCTCTAAAATATGAATAGTTCTGGCTTCATCTCATAACATTCTGTTTTCAAAGTTATTAAGCAATACCTTTGGAAATGGATGTCCACCCTTTCAATTTTAATATTAAATATTAAAATCAAGTCATTTTGTTTATATGTATTAAGGAAATAAAACATTGGGATGTATGTCATGGCTCTTAACATTTTACATTTAATCCATCGCCGCCGTTTTAACTTGCACGTGTAAGAATTTGAACAATTTTATTTAAGTTCTAGATCTACAAAACGTTTAGGATGAGCTATACGTTTGATAATAGTATACGTGATAAACATTACCTGTGCCTAGAGTGTGGTCAACGGTGGGACCTGATGAAATGTTTCCCGTTGGTCCCTGGGCCCTTACCCATGGAACATCTGAAGAGTTCGATGTCCATGTGCAGAAATCTTTCTCAAAACTGCAGTCAAACTTTGTATCGGGCTCTAAAAGTAGAATTGAAGAATTTAGAAGGCGGATAGTATATTCTTGCATAACTGTACACTCCCTCCAATAAGTTCCATTTTCACAATGTGTATCCATTTGGTGATCCGAAAAATTTATCTCGGCCTATGATAACTGAGAAAACCAACTTAAGATTCGAACTTTTCGAGATACCTCTGGATTGAGTGGCTACGTCTGGTATAATCTAGCTGTACCTATTAAATAAAATTCCTGGTCCCTGTAAATAAGTACTACTTTCTTTTGTCTTAATGGTCACTGTCTATTTAATTAGCACTTGATACTTACTCCACTGAGTCGGTACTACAGTTGTCGGTCTTTGAGTTGTTGAAATAAATCTTCCATCAGCAACGGATGGTGTAACTGGAAAACGTCAATTAAAACAAAACATTGTAAACATAACCATCTAAAATAGCCATAAACAGAGCCATAAACTTAAAATCCTAAGGTAAGCACGGATGAAAATGGGTAAAATCCAACTATGGAGAACATTATATGGGAAAATGAAACAACAAGCAAGTCATTACAATAAAACAACCCCAAAATCCGGAACTATAATTTTACGCATGATCGACTATATAGCTACTAACCAGCACAAGAAGATTTGATTATTTCCACGTCATCAATTGCGATGTCCCCTTCTGTATTTCCTCCTCTGGTACCTACTATAACAATCTAAAAAATAGTTTGGTTTCCTTATTAAACACGTAAATATTTAAATATCTCCTTCTTAGTTAAAATTCACTCTTCCCTTTTGAAATTTTCTGTTGTGATAAAAAATAATAATATCTGCTCTTTAGTTTTGTATTTATTCGTGGTATTATGTAAAAAATGTATCGAAAATCGTTAAAGTAAAGCCAGTTAATCGGTCATACTTTTAAATATTTTACTTATTAAAGGCCGACTTCGCGTATTTTCAATGTTTTTGGGGGAAATAAAGACTTTTATTTGAATTCTATAGAATGTCCAATGTATTGAACCTTATCTTTCATTTAACACCACCATCAGCTCAAACGGGCCACATCAAAGCTTACAATAATTAATCAAAAATATTTTCGATCTGTCAAGCTTTATATAATTATCAAGTTTTTATCAATGTCATTAAAAGATGGCAAAGTTGTTTGTATTACATGATACATTCATTTTTATAGTAGTGTCGCCATCTTTGAAATCAAAATTAATTAAAAAACATGCACTTTGTTTAGCATGTGCATGCATGTCTAATGATCTCTGAACTTCAAATGCTTATTTCTTTGTGAGTTATTTTTTTCTTGGTTCAATATTAAAGCAAATCAAACTTTGTGCGAGTGTGTGAGTAATATGTTTCAATGATAATTTTTTTCTTTTTTCTTCTAAAATTAAGTATAATGGGCCTTAATTAAATTGACCTACTTCGTGCCAGTTAGCATAATTCCATGAAGCTTGGGCGAATCTCCATTGGTCAGCCTGTGTTCCACTTAGCTGCCATAGCAACACATCACCAGTTCTTTTGCGCAGGAGTACACTGAGGGTGCCTGAACAAAATTAAGGATTTGTTATAAATATCACTAAACATATGATCTTAGTATAAAACACAAGTCTGAACGATATATTATTTCAAGGTTCGGTGCAAATTGTCACAAAATATTACATCATAAAAATAGAAAAATATACTTTCAGAATGTCAACCCGGAATTTTTTAATAGTATGTTAATAATGTTATGTGAAATTCAAAGTTTCATCAGGTTCAAACATTCCCCATCATTCCCATTTGACGAAAAAAATCAAATCAAATACAAACATAAACAGGCTGCGTAAATGCTCTCAAACAGGCAGTCGGAGTTACACATTTGAAGTGGAACGTGTACCTGAAATAATTTACTAAAACCTACCTATGCCATCTCCGTACATATGATACCAGAAGGTTATACAATGTCTGTCTGTCCAACCTGTAGTCTCAAACTGTTCACTGAGAAGTAAAGCTTTCTGTCCCGGGATCCTTGGGAGTGAAGCATCAAGAACCATGTAGTATCCTACAATATGAATAACATCAAAACTAATTATTGTTACGTTTCTTTAATGTTGAGGACTTATTAATTGAATTTTTCTGTAATTCTGAAGAGTAATTACTTTACCTTTGCTTTAATCTCACAGAGAAATTACTTTTTAAGAAAATTCATAACTTATAAAATATAAATATTAGTCATAAATACCCTCGGGACTACTTTTTGTATGATCAATAGTCGGCCCACTAGGTTTTCCTCCCTTTGCTCTAATCCATTGAATATCGCCCTTGTTATTGTTGGTCCAAGAACAAATGTTAGTCTCAAAATCACAGTTTCCTGGATGTGGGCATTCACCTTCGGTGTAGCTAACGTCGTCAACTGCTATATGGCCTTCTTCGCTAGGATTAATTCTTGCACGAAACACAAACTAGGGCCATAAAGAAAAAATTATCTATATTTCTACTAATAATATAACCGTGCCTCGATCTGGATTACAGTTTCAAGTCTATGGTCCTTTGCTGGCATCTTGGGGAATAGAAAAATCATTCTGTAAATGGGGACACGTTAGAACTCTCACAAAACATTAATTTGATAATTTGTGTTTACCTGCAGAGATTGACTGGACCGTATGGAAACCTGCCCCTTAGTCCATTCTTTCCGTTCCCCCGTTTGAATCCATCGTCCACCAGCTATTTTAAGTATAGGAGAAAACCTCCCTTCAACTGCTAGTTCATTTGTACCAGATTTGTGGTAATAGAAAGAAATACAAGATCCCTTTGTTGGTGGGTGAACGGGACTGCGAAGACGGGTGTATATTGAGGTAGAGTTGACACTGCTATCCACTAGCATGTAGCTCCCTGTTGTGACAAACATATGTACATATTTGTAATAATAATTAATAACAGCGTCGTATGGAACTTTTATAAAGCATAATATAAGAAATATAGATCCTTTTGAATATCTAATAACCTCCCCTGTAGCCTTCTGGTGTAATCTTTGGACATACTAAACCTATGCATAATGAAGTTATCAATGAGGCGAAGTGTTACTTTCATGACATTTTGGAAAGGACTGAAGATGTATTCTGTTGTGTACGTTTCAATCATATGCCTATTTCTTATAACCCTAAGTACTATATTATCTATCTTTGACATTAATGGTATCACGTCACCTTTCCCAGTCTCGTACGTGTGATCAGCGGTAGGGGCAGTTGGGTTATTAGTATCGCCCCCTTTCGTTTGAAGCCATTGTCTTCCAGTTGAATTGTCCGCAATAAACCCACACAAATCTTTGTCTTCAAAATCACATGTGTTTGGATCGACTGAAATGTATATTATAGAATATTCATTTTATAGTATAACCTCTTTACGAACAAGTTGATGTACTTATATATTCAAGTGTTCGTTCAACCAAAATACGGCATACATTAGTTCTGTGTGCACACGAAGATATGCAGTAACTCACCAGGACACCCTCCTTCAAGTATAGAGATATCATCCAAAGCAATGACACTCGACACTGTAGACCCTCTATAGCCCACAAATACGAGCTGGTAGGATCCAGTCTGCATAATATTCACGTGTCCATGATACCATTGGTCGTCAAGTCCACGCACTCTCTGCCAGATCTGAGTCAATTTACCTCCTGCTTCTCGGATGAATATTTCGAGCTTGTTTACATACCTTAGAATATTTAAGAGTGGTGTAAGTATCATTTTTTCAGTGTACTTTTCATCAGTTGTTTCTCAGATCAAAAGCAGAAACTATCATGCCACTTCGATTTGAACAAATAATTTAAATATTGGATATGACCATATACGCGTAGTCTTAATCGCATGCGTGTATGTTTCCCCTTACCCTGCGCGTATAAACGAAGCTCTCTTTTAAGGAACGAAGTCTAGCAAATGAAAAGGGTCGCTAATTTCCCCTTTTTTGCTTCAGATAATCGTAAAACTTTGTAAACTTACGACCCTCTCATGTAAAACCAAAACGACAGGCACTTGGTGGTCGTCGTACTACTGGGGTTGGTGATCATTATACTTAATTTTCCTGTCTCGCCTCTTCTTCCAGTTCTCGTATCCAGGTACACGTAATAGCCTTCAGCTGTAAATTATTTTATAAAATCTTCATAAACACATTGGATAATCGACGATGTATATTTATCTCACACAAAACACAGGCTCGTCATACAATGACTTGAAATACTACTTAAAAGGTTCATTCTCTACTATTTATGATCCTAAGAGTTAAAGATCAAAACAACATCATATAATAACTAGCTAGCATTATCAGAGTACTTTTATACGATCCTTTTTAGTGTTTATATAACTTATCATACATCTAAGTCGCCCGACTAGTCGAGCACTTTTAAAGTATTTTTCAGAAAACAAGAACTGTATCAAAGTATATTCATAATGTATTCATGGCTATCATGGTTCTTTAAAAATTATGTATGTAAGGTTAGAATTAAACAGAGACTGAGATTTCAATATTTCTTCATTTGGGGATTTTCAGTGAGATGATTGGTGTACAAGAGAGTGGATCGATTTCATAAATAATATCACTTCACGGAGTAAACGTACCTGTTCCTAATGTGTGGTCGACAGTAGGGCCTTGGCCAGACCCATAAATTCCCGTTTTCCCTTTGTTCCTTTTCCACTGTAGATCAACCTTCTTGGTTTCAACTTTCCACATGCAGAACCCGTCTTCGAAGTTACAGTCATATGGGGAAACTGAAATTACATTTGTTTATTATTTAATGTAGGCCTACTTAATTGCTTTAACCAGTTATTATTTATTTCAACTGTGGTCAGAAACTACAGTGCAGCTATAAATAAACAAGACGTTCCATTATATGTAAAGAACATACTTCTATTTTACCTGTACATGTCATAGGGCAAATTATAGATGGCCACACAGATTCGATACCTCCCTCAGAACATAACTTGTGAACTGGGCTATGAGACATGCATGACGTGCCAAGTTCATAACTGATATATGCTTTTAGTGCAATTTTGGTCAGGTACAACAATAAAGTGTATCTTACCGGACATGGGAGTTGTCATAAGCTGTGTAGTGACTACTGGTATATCTGTGGCATTCTCTGGCAAAGCATCTAGTGGACTGGCTACAACGATAAGTCAAAATGAGGAATTTTGAATATGTGTATACTTTCGACTTTAATTCAAATAAACGAAGCATTAACATGCAAAATGTCAGAACCTAATTTTTGTCACACATGCCGAATGCCGACCACCTCCAGCCGAACGCAGAATGCGGCCCACTATGCAAAAAGTTGGATAAAATAACAATATGTCATCACGTGTGGAGGTGATAGAACAAGCAACCATTGACAACTTGAGGGAAATAATCAAATAATTTTTTTTTTATAAAATGGCTTTAGTGTACTAATCTGTCTAAATTACTATGATCGGTATATTGTTGGCACTTTATGTACAGGGCGTCAAATAAGTCTGCCCCCCCCCTTACTTTTTTTAAGAAATCATACTTTCTCATATATCATTTTAAAGCTTATGGGAAATGCCCACCCTCAAAAAATCAATCATAAAATCTTCATAATAAAATTGCTGCAATGTTTCTTGTAAGGTTGTATATGTCCTTTGATTACTTCATCAAAACAAGTAAAATTACCAGTATAATAGTAAATGAAAGGAGATAAGTCAATACTGAAATTATGAAGAACAGGGTTGAAAATTGAATCAAAGATCAACCAGAGGAGAAACAACATAGTCATGAAACATTGCTCAGATGTATCAAGAAAGCTCTTAGCTGTTTGAATTAAACCAATAACTCTGGAAAGATAGGTATCGATATGGTGAACTGAATTCAACAATCTCTTAAACCAATTATTGAAAACATTCTGTAAAAAACATGGTCCTTTATGTAATGTTGACTGATTGACAACAATTTAATGCAAAAAGTAGTTATATATATTTTGTTAAAAAAATTTCCTTTCTACCAATTCTTGACAATGAAATAAAATGTCTTTCCGAACCTTGTTTGAACAAAATAGCATATACAACATTTTCTTAGACCTCTCAATAGTATAGTTATACAAAGGAAATTTTGGTTGATTTAACAAAAGGTCTGCAAAAAATTAAAACAAAACCCCCAAAATATATAAAAATCAAGATAACCCTTTCATTCAAACCTTTCATTAACAAGATACTTTTTTTAAATCAACCAAACTTTCCATTGTACAATTACAATATTAAGAGACCTAAACACAAGTCGTTTTGTTCCAATGAGGTTCGGAAAGATGTTTCATTTCATTCCGAACATATGATACCAAGATGAAAAGAAGTGTACACTTCTTTTCATCTTGGTACACTACACTTCATGTCTAATGTGTTTTCTAAGACAATATAGAGAAAAGTATATCAAATTATAATGTGACCATCTAAAAGATGACCATTATATTGACGATGTGTAAAATTTTCAGAATTTTTTGATGACTGATTTAAGAGAAACGTGTGTTCAAAAAGTTCACCATATCGATACCACTTCTTTGGTGTGTGATCAGCAAATTAAATGCCCTTTAAAATGATATATAATAATCCTATGTTATTTCTAAATTAAGAAAGTTAAGGGGGATAATAGACTTATTTGACGCCCCGTACATCGTCTTACTTGGGCAACGTCCAGATGTAAACGTGATGTCATCAATAGAAATGTCACCCTTAAAACCAGACCCACGTATGCCTTCAATTATAATCTCGTGAGAGTTTGACGAGTAGTACGAGACTTGGCCATCTCTCCACTCATTTCCTTGCTCCCCATCTAGACTCCATAATAGCGTCAGATCAACACCCTTATTGATAAAACATAGTTTCATGTAAATGGAAATCATAAATGACATTCAAGTTTGTAGCGATTAAAATCCAATTAGAATTAGAATTATAACATCCTGATTTTTGGAAGAATAGTAAAGTTAAGTAAAAGTTCTGTCAGTAAAATAAATGTTACGTCAGTTAAAAGGGGATTTCAAAATTCAGATGATTACTCTGAATAATCCGAAACTACATATGCCGACTGGGGTTCTTCTTTAAGACAAAAACAATGGAAGTTCCGTTAGTCATGTGAGACAACTGCACTAACATTTACTCACATTCAAAGTGAATTTAAATAGTTTAACCCGTTCTGACCTCTTTTATCCAAATGTTCAGTTTTCCAAGCTCCCTTCCATACATATGGTACCACCAGCGAATACATTTCCCTTTAATGCTTGTGGATTGAAACATTGGGGATATAACTTTGGCTACGTCGCCTTTCTTTCTTGGCGCCGAACTTTCAATAAACAGATAGGTACCTTAAAAGCATGGTTACAATGATCAATAATCAATAATATTCGTTGTCAAAAGTAATTTTACGAGGGTTGATAACTACTATATATGGGGTGGATGAAACCAAATATGAACATTGTTCATTTAGTATAAGATTTTTAGAACGGAGTTTTCCGTGTAAGTTAGGAACAAAATTTAGTTTCACACTGACACATTCATGGCGTTTTCAGCTATTTAGGCTCTACAATTAAAACTTTCGGTTTCAACGTTTTCTTCAAATACCTGATGAATTGCCAAAGGTATGATCTACTGAAGCTCCAGTGCCTGTAGACTTGGTAGATCCACGTCCTAGTGTCCAATCAAATTGAGTTCCATCTTGAAAATGGGTCCAACCACATATTCCATTCTCGAAGTCACAATCACCTGGCATGTAGAAATTATGCATTAACGAAACATCATTGCGATAAATTGTTTTTAGGTAAAGTTGTGAGTTCGGCATTACGACAGACATTCTTTTTTCAGTTTGGGATAGTGAAATTTCTTTTGAACCTGTGGGAGTGAACATCAGGCGATCAATCTTACACGTATGACAGGTCTACAGGTCTAGCCAGATAACACATGATAGGTTCTTACCTGTAAATGGACATGATGTTTTTAAAACTTTGACGTCATCAAAAGCCATCTGACTTCTAGTTCCTGGGCCAAAAACACTCTCAAAAACCATCTAAATCGTGAAACAGTACTCGGGTACATGTATACATGTCATTTTATGAAAGTAAAAATAACAAAATATATAATTTATCATTTGTGAAAACGTAAGGATCAATTGCAAACCAAGTTAAATGTGCAAATAGTGTTATATTTCTAGCTCTTACGTTGGATGATGTTGCAGCAGGTATCGGGATTTGAACCCTGAACCAAGTATTTCCGTTATTACCACCAGCTGACCAAACTCGTGATCTCAGCGAAAGTTTAGATTTTTCATATGCCCCCATGTACACATTCAACCGACCCATCTGGCTATTCGAACCATACATGTGCAACCAGAATTCGAAGCACTGGTCAGTATTTCCAGTCGTGAAAGTAGGTGAAATAAGTCGTGCTCTACTATTTGGCTTGGAAGCTGACTCGGCAACCATAAAGTAACCTTCAGCTGTGCCATATGTATGATCGATACTCGGACCTGTGCCGCTTATACTACCAGGGCCTTTTCGTCTGGACCACTTAAAATCACCCGCTGGGTCGTTGATATATCCACAAAGTGTCACATCTTGGAAGTCACAGTTGACACTGGAAGGCTTTTGCTTCGCTAAAAAGAACACGATTTTTTGTTTACATAATTCAATTTCCCAAAATGGTAATTCATCATCATAGCTGGATTATGAAGTTGAATGTTTGAATATTTACTGTTTTGACAAGACGTTGGTTGAATCGTTACGTCATCAATGGAAATATCTCCTCTTTGTCCCTTTCCAACTACTCCTTCGAACACAACCTAAAATAAAATGATAACTAATCTAATGAAAAACTGCGAGTTGCATTACTTTTTAATTTATTTCCAAAGATAAAACGCTGTATTTTGGAATATAACATACTGTTTCTCAATATGGCTTTACGTGTTTAACATCAATGTTGGCATAATTTATATCTCATTTTGTCGAGGAAATAAGAGAATATAGACCTGACAAACTAGACCCGAAAGATGTGTTGGACTTGATATGATCAAACATAGAAATTATAAATAGTAACCTTGAGTTTTGTTGCTTGTTTTGGAATATCCATTGTAGCAAAAAGCCATTTTGTTCCTTGATTGCGTTTTTTCTGCCACTTTGGTCTCGTTCCTAACTTTAGTATTCGCTGGCTCCTTGTTACAAACACATTAAGTCTGTCTATGTCTTTGCCGTTCATATGATACCAGAAGGAAACGCATTGCTGCGACTTTGATGCGTCTACATCCGGGCTTATGAGTCTTGCCTTGTGGCCCCTCTTTTGTTGTATTGCCCGGATATACATATAATATCCATCTGAAATCAAATATACCGCAAAACTAGAATTTTTATCTTTAGCTTTGTATTGAATTGAATCGTATTGTATTGAATTGTAAATGGATTTTATTGTATCATTCTGTATTTTATTGTATTGTATTGCATTGCATTGTTTTGTATTGTATTATATTGTATTGTATTGTTTCGTAATGTATTAAATTGTACATACTGTATTGTAATTGTATAATATTAGTTGCAGTCATATAGAAAAACAAGTCTCAAATAGTATTTCGTATCTTTGTGTTGGATTGGCTCCCTTGGATTGTGCTAAATTATATCGTATGTATTGCATAGTATGACATTGTATTGTTTTATATTGTATTCTATTTAATTGTATCAAATTGTATTGTAGTGTATAAATTATATTGTATATTAGTGAAGTGTGTAATGAAGTGCAATGTAATTTGGAAATGTATCTTTTATTGTATTGGTTGTATTGTATTTTATCAAATTGTATTGTATTCTATATATTCATAGTTTCAACATGAAGCTTCTAAAATTATGGGTATAGCTTCTTATCACTTCTTTTACATTGATGAAATTTATTTCTGTGATAAAACTAATTAATGTAAGGCACCGTCTCAGCAATAGGATGTTCGTCATACTGACAAGATTACTATATCTAGTAACTAATTGTCTACGCCTCTTACCGCTCGTTCCAAGGGTATGGTCTACAGTGGGACCAGTGTTGTACGGCTTGTTACTTCCACGACCCCTTGTCCACTGAAAGTTACCACGTTTATCACCTTGCCAACCACAGAGTCCCTTCTCAAAATCACAGTCAAATGGAGGAGCAGCTTTTACGTGTACGTCTGAAAATAAACGGCATCGTTTAGTGCATTTATATACAGAGCAATATAATACTCATATATTGTTAGAATAGATCAGTAAATTGATACTAATTTAAAATATGTATAATACGTTTGAAATATAATCGTCATTTCGTGAATTGAGTAAAACTTAATTTGAGATTGCTATGTACCTAGAACCTCAGTACGTATGGAATACAATATGATATATGAGTGTGAAAATCTCACAAAGTTATTTAAGACCTTCCAAGAAAATTCGTACCTAAGTACGTTTATTAATTCTGGAACTTTATGATGTATAATGTATCTAAAACTTCAGTAGGTAAAGAATATATTTGTAACGTACGGTCGGTCCCTGCTGTTCCTCAGAAGATATATTTCCCTTGGGATAAACCTGTATCCAAATCAACTTAATTAAGACTACCGATTGCCTTTTATTAGAACAACTTCAAAAGAACATTAATCAAAATTCATAGAAGTTCATTAATCAAAATAAAAAGTTTACTTACATAAGAAAACGTAGAGAAAGCTGAAAATGAGTAGAGTTACACCATGTGTATTCATTCTGAAATTTCTCCTTGCGCACTGTTTCTAAAATCCCATTGTATGGATAGAGCTCAGCTCTTTGTAGTTGATTTCATTTTCGAATGTAAAACGACTAAAATGTATATAGTAGTATCAAACTATTTTGAAAACAATTGATGACCATTAAAATTTTACAAGTTATGTATATATCTGAAATCGTCACAAATGTCAATAGGTACGTTTTGCGACAATCATATCATCAATGGAATTGTTATCAAAAACGAGAAGTTGATATTTTAAAAATATGCATTCTCAAAATACATTCTCCCGTTAGAGAAATTTGGATTTTATATTTTAATTGTCAGTAATTAGAATATATTCTTTTCTGAGTTATATGAATAAGGGAAATGTGTAATGCAATTTAATATTCTTCGCCAATTGTTATTGACAATCACTCTCACAGCTGGTTATCTAAGTAAACAGGATTTTGTCCATAGTCTGAGATAGATTCATTGTGTTTTGGGTGGACTACCAAGATAAATAATTAAATATCGGTCATATAGTTCTTAAGAACAGCAACTTAATAAGTTTATGGGGATCGGCAAATATTTTTGTCACCCACGTCTAGGACTCTACCACATGGGTATATCATTTTTTATAAAACCGATTTGCAAAATAATATGACGGTTGACTTATTTGAATAAAAGGTAAACAATGAAAAAATTCTAGAGGTCACAAAATGTCGAAGTAGTTTTAAATGTTCTTGTCTCATTCCTCTTCTTACTATAAAGCACCGTGGTCTGTCTGTTATTTTGTTATTTCTGTCTGTCCGGACATCTCCTCCTAGACCTAGACCGTTTGACTTTGGGCTCTCATAGTAGGTCAATATAGTAAGTGGGTCGGTGGATATTCTACGAAGGTCAAGTTCAATATCTAGGTATTTGGCTATTTAAAACCCGTGTTGTAACCCTTGACGACACTTGGTGACCTAAGATCAATGTCAACTTCGTGACAATTGGGGCTGCTTTGACCCATGACGACGCACGATTAAGTGACCTGAGGTCAGTGTAAATGTTGTACTGGTCACGGTCATCTCAAGGTCAAAGGTGAATATCAAGGTATATGGCGTTTTAAGGCATTTGGACAAATTCACCTCAATTCAAGAATCAGTCAATAGTGATAAAGGGATTGACAAATTTTTTTAAATACCTCCTGTTCAAGTTGCAATCATTTTATAGATTATGTTGGTAGATTTAATATCACTGAATATGGTATTGCTTGTTGAGGACCACACAACATTACCGTTTATCATTTATTTGAGATTTAAGCAGGGGTCCATTTTTTAAAGAAATAATTGTTTTAAAAGATTCCTTGTGCATACATAATAAATAAGTACAAAAAGTAAGAATTATTATATATTAAGAACTTTATGTAAAATTTCAACTGAAAAATTATTGCAAAATGGAATCCAACATCACAGTAGGGGTATAACTCATCGAACACTGTATACTTTTTTGAAAGCTTATTGTTACAGTCTAATGTTCTTGCTTTTGTTAGTTGGGATTATATCATTGACTATTTATGAATTTTTTAGCACCATACAAGGTTACAGAACTTCATTTATGCTTAAAAGGTTTATCATTTAAGGTTCCTGGGTCTATCTTCAAGGTTAATTACGTAAATTACGACCGATATACGGGATATACCCAAGAGGTATTGCTCACCTTCATTGGTCACGGTGTTATAGCATGACGGTTACGCCACCTCTGAAAACGAGGTTGGACGGCTACGTTCACTGATTTATCCAATAACATGGCTGCGATGGAAGAGAAAACTAAGGTTGGTGCATTATTTTCTACTACTATGTATCAATGAAAGGATGAACGATTTATGTCAGCGTCGCATTCGGTGATACATTCAGTAATGTATATGTTGAACCTAGTCTGCAAATTGATGCCCGGGGCATGAAATAAGAGAAAAACTGTCGAGTTTGAAATTCAAAACTACACAAAATTTAGCAATTTGTTTATTTTTGTTGTTAGGGCATGGTCTACATTGCCTAAAAGCCTTGGGGTATATAGATGTAACCTACATACGATCATACAAAGCCAATTAAGCATTGGAAACCACCTAATATGTTCTACTCAAGCCATACTAATGTATTTTGAATTTGCGGTAACGTGAAAAATTGATGGACGGTTACGCGAACCTGATTCAAATATGAAACCCGGATTCATTGTCATTAATTTTGTCATCTTCATCAGTACTTGGTCCTTGTCTTCTTTTGCCTCTTCATTGGTATCTTTTACACTTTCATTGTTTTCATAAATAAAGCAACCCTATAGAGGCTGATACAAGAGCGTCTCTAGCGAGTCCTGAAAACAAATATAGGAAACTCAATATTCTATTTCTTACCCATTATAACAATAACCTGGAAAGAGGCTATCAGATCTAGCAACCTTGACTTGACAGATGTACAGGCACGTAACCGTCCGCTAAATATCTTATGTACAACTAGTACAATACGTTACCGTCCATATAATTCGATAGAAGTCATACGTAGTCGTCTAACGACATTGCGTTATAAACCTTATTATTTACGATATTCACCACGTTCCTGTTCTGGATTTGTCATTTTATGCCTTGTTTATACACAGTTTACTTACAGTTATATTAATATTTTGAGTGGCTCTGAGGCACATGTACTGAGAAAACACGAGAATGGACCAAAAATTATGAACTTGGATATCTCTGTCGGTAGGTTTACAGCTTATATTCTGTTTCTTGTAGACCACCTGGCAGATTTGACCCAGTCTTTATAACCATCCATATATATATACGTCACCGAATGGATCCGGAACTAGTTTAAAAGGAAATCTTATCTGTGAATATTGCCTACAGGCGGACATGCTGCCCTTCCCATCCGCCAATTTTTGTTATCGTTACCGCAAAATTTTGCAAATCGACTTGACGTAACCGTCATGCTATAACACCATGTTGGTGGTAGGCAAAATGTGATACAATACAATAAAAGACCAACGTTTTTTCAGCGTAGACATGTAAACTGAACAAGTTCAATTTAAGACTCAAGATTTCAGACTTTTTCAAGCTGAGTCATCCAGAATACTTGTAAGCTGTAAAACTACACAAAATTTAGCAATTTGTTTATTTTTGTTGTTAGGGCATGGTCTACATTGCCTAAAAGCCTTGGGGTATATAGATGTAACCTACATACGATCATACAAAGCCAATTAAGCATTGGAAACCACCTAATATGTTCTACTCAAGCCATACTAATGTATTTTGAATTTGCGGTAACGTGAAAAATTGATGGACGGTTACGCGAACCTGATTCAAATATGAAACCCGGATTCATTGTCATTAATTTTGTCATCTTCATCAGTACTTGGTCCTTGTCTTCTTTTGCCTCTTCATTGGTATCTTTTACACTTTCATTGTTTTCATAAATAAAGCAACCCTATAGAGGCTGATACAAGAGCGTCTCTAGCGAGTCCTGAAAACAAATATAGGAAACTCAATATTCTATTTCTTACCCATTATAACAATAACCTGGAAAGAGGCTATCAGATCTAGCAACCTTGACTTGACAGATGTACAGGCACGTAACCGTCCGCTAAATATCTTATGTACAACTAGTACAATACGTTACCGTCCATATAATTCGATAGAAGTCATACGTAGTCGTCTAACGACATTGCGTTATAAACCTTATTATTTACGATATTCACCACGTTCCTGTTCTGGATTTGTCATTTTATGCCTTGTTTATACACAGTTTACTTACAGTTATATTAATATTTTGAGTGGCTCTGAGGCACATGTACTGAGAAAACACGAGAATGGACCAAAAATTATGAACTTGGATATCTCTGTCGGTAGGTTTACAGCTTATATTCTGTTTCTTGTAGACCACCTGGCAGATTTGACCCAGTCTTTATAACCATCCATATATATATACGTCACCGAATGGATCCGGAACTAGTTTAAAAGGAAATCTTATCTGTGAATATTGCCTACAGGCGGACATGCTGCCCTTCCCATCCGCCAATTTTTGTTATCGTTACCGCAAAATTTTGCAAATCGACTTGACGTAACCGTCATGCTATAACACCATGTTGGTGGTAGGCAAAATGTGATACAATACAATAAAAGACCAACGTTTTTTCAGCGTAGACATGTAAACTGAACAAGTTCAATTTAAGACTCAAGATTTCAGACTTTTTTAAGCTGAGTCATCCAGAATACTTGTAAGCTGAGTCATTCAGAATAAGCTGAGTCAGCTAGAATATAGACAATTAGACAACTCTTAAGAATGTAATCTTCGACTCCATTGGCTTAACATGGGAATATCATCATATCGACTTTTCAAGACTTCAAACGGCTATAGCTATCTAACCAGAAGTTGGATCGAAATTTGGTTTAAAGATTCTGATTCCTGAGAAAATCTTTACCCTTAATTCATAACTCATTCGTTAAATTTGGAGAACTTTTTATTTTGACCTACTTGTCGGACACCATATCTCAAAAGTGGGTCAAAATACTTTCTGACGGCAAAAGGCTAACTATACTTTAAGCACACTTTTTGCTACCTGTATACCAAAGGATCACGTAGGTTATCGCAAGCAATTTCAAACGATTCTAACTTGAATTATGAATATTTTCTGATCATGAACATGGGTGTATCTTTTAGATCCATTCATTATCTTCAAGAAAAATATATATAATGATAATTTAGTTAATCAGACCTAAGTGATATTGGAGGGGCAATGGACCAATCAACATACTTTTTTAAAAATGTTGACCTAATTTTCACCAAAAATGCAACCTTTTATTATATGTTGTTGAATGCATAATTAGAATGTGTTTTGAGACATGTTCGATTTCCTGAAAGGAAAAGTTGATTGCTCCAGGGACTTTAAAGATACTGCATTTGGATGACCAAAATGAACTGAAACCAATGGATAGCATGAGATTTTTCAATGGAGAAATAACATGAGGAACACTTATCTTAAAACAATTAAGTTTTCCTTTCAAGAACTATTTGAAACATCAAAATAGAGGATAGTAATGCATTAAACATTGTAAAAAATGATTGCATATTTGGTGAAAATGGGGTCAACATTTTTGAAAAGTGTGTTGATGGGTTGATTGCTAGTTAAATATTCCCAAGTTTGTTTGA